CAGTAGAGGACTTCTGACAGTCTTCTCTTGGCATGCCCATGCTGCTGGTAGCTGTGGCCTGACCCCTGAAGCAGCCATGAGACACARTAACACTTTTGGGAGCAGCTGCAACTGGTCTGAGCCTGACCTTGAGTCMKGGCATGGAGACAAGGGTTTGCAAAGGCTGACCAGTGTTTGTGCTATGGCCATGGGTTACGTTCATGACTCCCTGCTTTTCCCATCAGAAAGCACTGAATATTCCTTGTAGGAGGCTTCTCTTGCGTTTCCTAGCACAGATTTTCTCTTCTAGGAGGCAGCAGTGATGGTTGTTTTTTGTGTTCATTGCTGTCTCTCCCAGGCAATTGGGGAAATGAAGCAGACAATGTCTCAGGCAAGCTTGGAAGGCTACCAGCAGGTGTCTGACTGGGCTCTGGAAAGCTCAGGTAYGCACACACCAAGTCACGTCTCTCTGTGTTGCRCTTGTGTCTGGGCTGCTCACCAAACCAAGATGCAAACATCTTGGCGTCCAGAATGAGAGGCCCTTGTGCCTGTGGTGGCGGCAACAGGAGCGATGAAGGCATTTTGTGTCAGCCCCTGGACTAGCTGCACTCAGCTGCTCTCTCCCCATTTCAGGTGCCACCATCGACAGGCAGAGAACATCCAAGAGCTATGAGTGGGAAGGCAATTGGCTGTGCAGGCTGTTCTGGTTCYTTTCTACTGCAAACCCTCCCGAGACAATTTTGCAGGTATCTCAGCAGAAATCATCACTGCTGCTTTCATTCCTTGGTGCCAAAGTTGGGGGACAAACGCCAAGGCATCTCCCTGCTCTTCCTGGATCTTGCTCAAGCCCACAGCATTGATCTCGTTCCTGAAACCTAATCTCTCCTACGGGGCTTGGCAGGCAACACATCATGGGTTCCCCTCAGGAGGGACACTGAACAGAACTGAACTGCGACAACCTGTCAAAGGCCCTGGTCRCAGCTGGGTGAAGGAGTTTCTCCTTTGCACCCCCATTTGTCTGCTACACCCCTGAGAGTCCCTTTGATTTTTGAGGCTTGTGGGAGAGAGCGAGAGGGGCTGCAGAGCTGCTGGGAAGAATTATAGCACCTT